AAAAAAAACAGCTTTAACCTAGCACAAAATATGCGATAAAAAATTTCTGGGAAATACACGCATTTCGGCGAAGTGTTATTTGTGCGGCGTCCGCATACGAACGATGTGTTTACAAATCATTTCTTCAGTAAGTGATGCTGTGATTCATCCAAGCGTATAAAAAACAGAATCGTATATAGCTTTAACCGTGTCGTTTCAGTTGTCGCTCGCTCATTTTTATCCGAAGATTTCTTTGTATTCCGCTGTATATTGATAATGTGTTCTGTATTCAGATTCAAGTGTAGTGTTCTGGTCTCTTTTTGTGCTTCAGTGCGTATTTGGCTGTTATTGTGTACGAACATATTTCGTGCTGAAGTTAATTTTTCAATCTGAAGTGATGTGTACAGTTCAGCATTTTATTGCATTTTAGACCAAGAAATTACTTGTTTCATTTGCTTAAATAATTTAAACCGATTTTTTTTTCACTTTCCTATTCGCTCATCAAAGATTTAAAATCATTTGTGTACGAAAAGTGTTCATATTTACGAAGCCATACACCAAATTCCACAGTCATAAGTGTGATAATTTTCACTGCCAGCTCAGCTGTCGCTTTCAAGTGATAATAATTAGTAACTACTCACCAGATATTTAAATAGGAGTCATAACAAACATGCAAAATGTTCCATTTTTGAACTAATTTCATTTGCAAAAGAAGCAAATATTTCGAAAAAAAAACGAACTCTCATTGTTGATCAGTCATTTTCGAGACGTTTTCAAAGAGCTGAATCTCAAAGGCTTCAATCGCTCAATCATTTCAAGAAAAAAAAACTCTCAAAAATCGTATCATTAAAATGGTGACTTTTTGCGAACTAATGAATAACCAACCGCCGATTGATGTGGAGACTGAATGCCAGGAATTCAATAATAGCATTGTAAGTGTGCGCAACATACTAATCAAAAGTGCTACGGCCGTTAATACGTACAAACATTTATTTCCACGCAAAATTTGTGAGCGTAACGAATTTTTACGACAATCTCAAGAATTGAGTGTTATATCACCGAATACACCTGAAATCGAATTGCAGCAAAAATTATTTTGTGATAGTGCGACTAGCATTTGGTTACACATTAATGAAGAGTGCAGCAATATTTTGGGTCCAATTAAAAATGCCACTGATTTGATAAACAATGCACAACACTTTCTCCTTGAAAATCGATTGGGCAAATGGAAACGTGATCAAGTTTTAGCTGGGTATGGCGATTCAGGAGCGAAATCATCAAATCTGCACGACAATAATCCACATCTCAAAACTGCGTTGGATGAAATTCAAGCACAGTTTGAGGATTTGTTCGAATGTGTTTGGACTACACGTATATTGTTAAAGGCCATTCAAGATTGTCATGATCAATGGCAATGCAGCGACCCTCTTGAGGCGAAATTAGCTAGTGATATCACAATTATTCAACAAAAATTGATTTGCTCAAGCTTTGTGGTCGAAGAACAACCGCAGGTCATTCATTTCGATGCAAAGTAAGATATTTTCATCCATTATGATGACATTTTGTACAATTGTTCTGTTTTTATCTTTTTGTTATTTAATAAACTTGAAAAACATTTATGAATTATTACAAAATCATAGATTTCAGGCCACTGTACGTCTACTTTTGCCGAAATTTGTTACAGTCGATCCCAATATATCATCTGTATCTGCCTGTCTTCTATCGGGTAGGTTTTCGTGACCCTCTCATTTCGAAATGTTGTAACTGTGTGTGTTAGTTAACCCATTAACTACCACTGGTCGAAAAATCGACCACTACATTTTCGCTCATATAAGAAAATTCCTATTGAAATCTAACGATCTGCGAAGGCGACTGTTATTTTTAGGCCAAAATTGATAATATTTGAAAGTATCACGCAGTTTAAAAACAAAATCAGAATCCTGGTAGTCAATGGGTAGTTAAATCGTACAAAATTGAATGAATGAAAAATTTTTATTTTCATACACGAGTAGCAACTCAAGTTCAACGACAACAGGAACAATGGGCACCATTAAATGAGAATTCGGGTGGAATCGCGATGAAGATGAATTTCGGTTTTAGCATATTACAACAAAACCGTTTAATATGCGATTTAAGGCATATGAAGCTGAAGAATATTGACCGACCTCCAAAGGGGGCCAATGAAAGTGTGATGGATGAGAAATTTGCTATATTATTTGAATGCAAACTACTAATCAAAAACACTCCATTTAATGTAAGTTATTTGCCAGCAAAAAAATTATCGCGCAATATTTATTCGATACTGAATCCATGCGCTTTGGACGTATTGATGCAACTGGATGAACTGTTCGAAATCATTTTTTGTGGTTGAAGTCTTCAGAATGAGCAAACGTTCAGTTTGTATCTGCATGGATTTCAATGAATTAAACGTTCGGATTGAAAGTGAATCCCAAATGGATTCCAAAAATTTCATTCAGCGTCATTTTTGGCTCACGTTTGATTTAAACAATTCATGTTTTATTCAAGAAGTTTTCGATCGATTTTCGAAAATGTTGAACATTTAAATGATGAATTGCCTTCGGTGTCCAAGTTCACCTCAAATCATTTCCCCTGTAAATTAGATTTGCATTGTTCTAAATTCTTTACTGATGTCATTCAATAGATATGGACCACGTCACTTCCAGTTACAGTCGCAACGAATGTAAGTCAAGATT